TTTGGTTGCGAAGTATTCTGAGAGAGAGATAGAGAAAACAAGAGATGAAGCTACCAAGGTTGTAGTAGATTATGAAAATACGGGTCTCCCTAAAGGCTTGGAAGCTAAAGTCTTCTACCAGAACATTGAAGACGGTTTGAATAGGAATGGGTTTTCCGGAAAGGTCGATGTGACCGTGGTGGTTGGTTACGAAGACCATATACCTGACGAGAGGGAAGCTATTCTGAGGGAGAATAAGGTCACCATCCGCCACGCTAAAAAGATGCCCAGTAAGTTAACTCGTTGTAGTACTTTATCTCAACATCAAACTTTTTGTATCTAATCTCAATTTGATCTGAACCTTTTTTTATATGGTGATTCAGGAACCGAAGGCTCAAAAAACGATCAATCTGCAGATAAGAAGATAGTACAAATACTAAAAAAATGGCTAAAGATGGGATTGCCCCCTCAGAACGTACTTGTTGCCACCGGTGATAACGGGTTTGCCGGTGTTTTCAAGTCACTGCGAGCCGCAGGGCACACGGTTATATTTGCGAGTCTCCAAGATCCAGCAAAGACGAAAGTCTCCTCGGTGGCATTAGAAGCCACAGCACTGTTGAGGTGGGTTTGGAATGACCTTTTGGTAGCACCTAGGCAGAAGAGCAATGCTGTAAAGAGGGCTCAGGAAGGTAGTGGAATGGAGGGTAGTGGAAAACGTGTTTGCTATGGAGGAAGAGGTGGTGGTCGTGGAGAAAGCTGCTACAAGTGTGGTGAGTCGGGACATTTCGCCAGAGACTGCACTAGCGGTGGTGCTCGTTAAACTGGTCACTGGTTTGGTGGTGGAGGAAGCTGAATCCATCAGATCGTTTTCTTGCTGCGTACTGCTATCTCTTTATTATCCTCAGCTTGTGCTTATGATGGTTTCTTAGCTTATCGTTTTCTTGCTGCGTACTGCTATCTCTTTTCTCTTAAAACTTTTTGATGGTAGTTTCGGATTTTAGGATTATGGTTTGGTTATTGTTTATGCTGCTGCTACTACTACTTAATGGTTTGGTTATTGTTTATCCTTTTAGGATTAATGGTTTGGTTATTGTTTATCCTTTCTAAACTTTCTAATCTACCAAAACTTGTAAAGAAGCATGAACTCATGTCTCACGACTCTGCAGAAAAGTGGATGTCTCACAACTCTGCAGAAAAGTGGATGTCTCACAACTCGGCAAAAGAAAGTTTTTACAACTCTGCTACATTGATTTTCTCACAACTCGGCTAAAGAAAGTTTTTACAACTCTGCTACATTGATTTTCTCACAACTCTGCATGGATCTACATTCGATCCAGAGAAGATCATCAAGGAGCTTCCTAAAGAAGTAGAGTCGAACATATGATGAAATCTTTTGATTTGGCTATTGTAGTAAACAAGACGGAATTTTCAATAAAGAATAAATATTCACCTCTAGCTCGAAGCTGTTCTTAAGGATACTACTTAACAGGAAACCAATCATCAAGAAATACTAGCAAACTAGAACAGAGAAACAAATATGTGCTGAGAAATCCTCAAGTATATTCCCAGAGCAGCAACAAATTCTTTCATGGTTCTTAAAATGCCACCAATGTGATGTGGAAGCCAATTGAGTTGTTCCTATTAGCAAGTCCAGCATTATGCAGTAACAGTGCTTTCAATTGCCATGCCATCACTAAGTGTTAAGAAACAGATGATAAATGGAAGGACACCCCGAATTAAGAAAAGACACCTACAGTTCCAAGAGTTAGAAGACTCTTGTTGATGTATGAACCCTCCTTCCTCCTCAATCCAGTTGTTTCGGTTTTGGAACTCTCAGATCCAGCCAAATCAATCAAATTCTAAACAAGAAAAATATAAAGTTAGAGCCCGTCTTGAGAAATACATGATCTTATACAATAACAAAAAGAAAGAAGCACTTACGAGTTGAGAAAAGTAAATGGAGTGGCGGACTCTCTGTCAAAACATGCTAGAGCCACATTACAAGATTATGTAATATCATGGGTTATGTAATGTGTTCTTATGTAATATTATGGTTGTAAACTTTCAGTTTTAATAAGAATTTCTGTTGGACG